GGCATACGAACTATTAAATTCGGATTTGTGTTTTAGATATATGGCAGGTTCTGCACCAATTTTTACCTTATCTTTACCGAATATGGGTATCAAACCCTTTCCATTGGCATGATCGGTGAAAATTTTCAGTGGGGATTTTTGCAAATCCTTTATGGTCTCTATGGCTTTGTGATAGGATGGATCGGTAAATAGGGTACTGAATTGGGCCGAGAATTGCACCGCAATATTTAGGCCAATAAATGATACCAAGAGGTAAACAATTTTCAAGCTACGCCAGGGTGAGCTGCGGGTCAAAAACGATTGACCCAATATTCCGGGTAGAATGTGATCATTCAGTAGAAAATTTAACGCATCCCATAAATTATCCAAATAATAATCGATAAGGCTGTGGAAAATGGAGAATATGAGGGAGAATACCAGGACACATCCCAAGAAGTAGCCATTCAAAAGTAAGGCAATCAGTTCCCGATTATTTAGCTGGGTAGGGCAGGGTACCATCAAATAACTTTTAATCATTTCATAATATCCTGTCCTCAAAAGTGGTGTCTGGCTGAGGTTGGTGTGTAGACTCAGGGACATGGGCACATCCAATTCACCACGTAGACTCATCTCATTCAGTTGTATATAGGGTGTGATTTTCCCAAATTTGAAAGATCTGTGCATTTTCAGGCTGGCATTATAACGTTCGGCATATAGCATAATTAATCTGGCCACCTGGCCATTCATTTGTAGATTTCCATTCGAGTCGTAATACGCCAGCCCGGTCACGGGGTCCTGGCCAATGAGGGTGGTAAGGGTAGTGTTTGCCATATTTCGCCAATATGGAGGGTAATATTTTTCACTCTGGGGTTTAATGATCCAGTGATATCGAGGATAGGGTCGGAGGGCATAGAGGGTGGTGTTATTAGGCCCCGGTTTATCCTCCAAAAAATTCAGTAAAACATTTGTCATTTTGTAATTTTCCAACTCCATTAGCAGCTGATTTTTGAATTCCTCCTCTGCTCCTGCTCCAACACCACCTGAAATATTTTCCGCCACAATAAAAATCCTTGTCTGATGACGATAGTCCAAAATTTTTGCCCCAATTGCCATCAAGTCGGAATTGAATTTTTCCCTCATCAGGAAAATTGTTAACAACTCCATATTGAAATTTTCCACAAAGAGAAAATCCTCGGGTCTGGAAATGATAATTTTGGGTATTGCAGATTCATGGAATATCCTCAATCTTCCATTCAGGGTAGAATTTTGGTGAACAATTAGCAGAGATTCAACGGTTTGTTCCTGAACAATTTCCTCCATAATTTTCTGATAGTAGTTGTTATCCAAAGGCTCCTCCAGGTGGAAATTTGTTAAAGAAAATCCATTAACTGGTAGCGGACAAGAGGATAATGTTAGAAGTAGCTTTAGCCAGAACTCCATGATGACTAACTGGAAGCTTCTTCCAAAATGGGTTTATATGAAGAAAAATTTTTGGAGAATTCTCTTTTTTGGGACAGCATGAGTTGCGGAAATTACAATAAGGATGAGCTCATATCCAAAATATGAAAACGAATAATTAACTTACGAAATACCCTAATCCGAAAAAACTGATGAGTCCTTTGATGAGTAGCTATTAAGCAAAACAATGGAGCCACTTCTTGATATGTCATTGAGAGGAGGTGGAGGAGAAAGAAAATGTTTTTAGGGACAAACACAACACCTGGAATTCTTAGAAAATATTTTCAAAGCCCAAAAACATAATACTTTTCAAATACTTTTTTCCAAAGCCCACATAATACTGGCCTACATAAGGCGTGGATTTTTAAAATATTTTTTTCCGAGGCCTACATAAGGCGTGGATTTTTAAAATATTTTTTTCCGAGGCCTACATAAGGCGTGGATTTTTAAATAATTTTTTATAAGGCCCACATAAGGCGTGGATTTTTTAAATAATTTTTTATAAGGCCCACATAAGGCGTGGATTTTTTAAATAATTTTTTATAAGGCCCACATAAGGCGTGGATTTTTAAAATATTTTTTTCCGAGGCCTACATAAGGCGTGGATTTTTTAAATAATTTTTTATAAGGCCCACATAAGGCGTAGATTTTTTAAATAATTTTTTATAAGGCCCACATAAGGCGTAGATTTTTTAAATAATTTTTTATAAGGCCCACATAAGGCGTAGATTTTTTAAATAATTTTTTATAAGGCCCACATAAGGCGTAGATTTTTTAAATAATTTTTTATAAGGCCCACATAAGGCGTAGATTTTTTAAATAATTTTTTATAAGGCCCACATAAGGCGTAGATTTGTTAAATAATTTTTTATAAGGCCCACATAAGGCGTAGATTTTTTAAATAATTTTTTATGAGGCCCACATAAGGCGTAAGGCCCACATAGATTTTTTAAATAATTTTTTATAAGGCTCACATAAGGCGTAGATTTTTTAAATAATTTTTTATAAGGCCCACATAAGGCGTAGATTTTTTAAATAATTTTTTATAAGGCCCACATAAGGCGTAGATTTTTTAAATAATTTTTTATAAGGCCCACATAAGGCGTAGATTTTTTAAATAATTTTTTATAAGGCCCAAACAAGGCGTAGATTTTTTAAATAATTTTTTATAAGGCCCACATAAGGCGTAGATTTTTTAAATAATTTTTTCAAAAGCAGACATAAGGCTCGTGAAGTATTTTTTAAATAATTTTTTCAAAAGCAGACATAAGGCTCGTGAAGGATTTTTTAAATAATTTTTTCAAAAGCAGACATAAGGCTCGTGAAGGATTTTTTAAATAATTTTTTCAAAAGCAGACATAAGGCTCGTGAAGGATTTTTAAAATAATTTTTATTTATTTAAAATAATATTAAAATATTTAAAAACTGTATTTATTTATTCCATTGAATTTTTCCTGCAATCTGGGCTTGGATTTTTTACACCACGGTTGGAATTTCGTATATCGGGATTCAGGTTTCAAGAATATTTTTCTTGTCTCATTTTTTGATCTACAATAATACCACAATTCCCCGAAAAATATCACCATCCCTAGGCCGCATCCCTCCACCACAATCATCCATATCCAAAAGAGATCATCCACCGTTAAAATTTTCTGTTCATCCTAATTGGCGTAGCCATCAAAATGGGAGATTTTTCCCAATTTCATCATATCCATAAATGTGCTGAACAGCCAGACTTCCATAAAACCCAACTCGTGGACCCTCAAAATGTGTTCATTTAACGGCTCAAGGTAGGGAGAATTTTTCGGCAGCAAAATACTGTAAATAAAAAAAAATCCTGCAGAATAGTCTGCCGGGCAATACATAACTGTTTTTGCTTATAGAATTGTTGGCGCCTTGAGGACCCTTCTGCCATTCTCTGGAGGATATAAAATAGGCATACGAGCTATTAAAACGACTTTTTTGTTTGAGATAGGCCGTATCACTGGGGGCTATGACCACAGAGTCTTTGCCATAGAAAGGCGCCAAGACTTGAGCATAAAATGTATCGGTTAGTAGTTTTATCGGTGACTCCCGCAAATCCTGTTGTGTCTCAATGTATTTGTTATACGGTGGCTGGGTGAAAATGGTTTTGATATTTGCTCCAAACAACACTGCAATATTTAAGCCTATAAATGAGACCAGGAGGTAAACAATTTTCAAGCTACGCCAGGGTAGGTTATTCGAGATGAAGGCCTGGCCAAATAACCCCGGTAGGATTTTTTCATTTAAAATAAAATTTATAAAATTCCAGAGGCCATCATAGTAGTAGTATACCACGTTATGGATTACCGAGAGCAGGAGATAACATCCCACCAGGCCTCCAAAGAAATATTTATTTAAAATCACTGCAAACACCTCACGTTAGGTCAATTGCTTGGGACAGGGTACCATCACAAAGGGTTTTATCATTCCATAATAAACCGTTTTCTGGATCTGCGGGAAGGTATTATCTTTGTGAAAGCTCGACGCCATGGGTATATCCAATTCTCCTTTGAGGCTAAGTTCATTGATGCTACGATAGCTTAACATCTTGCCGAATTTAAAGGATTTATGCATTTTCAAAGTGGCATTAAAACGTTCCGCAAACAACATGATTAATCTGGCCATATAGCCATTCATTTGATACCTTCCATTCGCATCCAAATATACCAGGCCGGCGGGTGGATCTTGGCCATTGAGGGTAATGAGAGTCTTGTTCCGCATATTCCGCCAATGGGGAGGATAATATGTATCCTGGTCAGACTTCTTGTGCCAATGATAGCTGGGATAGGGTTTGAGGACATACATTTCAGGTTGGCTCATATCCTGCTGTCCTTGCAAAAAATACAGCAAAACATTTGTCATTTTGTAATTCTCTAAATTCCTGAGGCGACACCACTTTGAAGTCCTCTCTTTCAACAACTTCCTTGACATTTAAGGTCACAATAAATTCCCTTCTTTGACGTTGATATTCCAAAATCGTGGATCCAATTTCCAGCAGCTCAAAATCAATGTTTCCTCTCATTATAAAAATTGCCAATAATTCTCAGTTGAAATGTTCGGCAAACAAAAAATCCTGGAATTTTAAAATAATCAATTTAGGTATTGGGGCTCTATAGAAAATCGCCAATCTTTTATGCTTTGCAACATCTTGGGGGTTGAATAATTAGCAGAGACTCCACAGGCTGTTCCAAGGTGATATCCATAAAGATTTTCGGATAAATATCCGTGTGGGAGTATTCCTTAGAAAGAAGTCAAGGGATGATGAACCTGCGCCGAGCAGTTTGCGAAGCAGTAATAAATTTAGCAACACTTTAAGGCCGACAAACATGTTCCACAATTTTTTGTAACTTCAGGTGGGAAGGAGAAAGACTAAGGAAGAAGAGGGCAGACAATTATTTTGAAAAACCTTTTTTTGGTTTTAAATAATTTTTTCAAGCATGTACATAAGGTGTGGTTTTTTAAATTATTTTTACAAGCATCTACATTTTTGATTCCAAGGACGAACCCTATTGAAATTGGAAAAAATTTAAGGTAAATGGAGTACCAAAGTCCCTATATATCTTTTGATTTGCCCGAAATTTGGCAAAGCGAAATGGATTAGATCTAGAATAATGTGTATTGAGTTTCCTGAAAATCGGTTCAGATTTAGAAATAGCTCCCATATATATCTTCGTCCGATTTAAGGTAAATGGTGTTCCAAAGTCCCTATATATCGTCCGATTTGCAGGAAATTTGGCATAGCGTACTAAATTGAGTCTGGAATGATGTGTGGTAAGTTTCGTGAAAATCAGTTCAGATTTAGATATGGTTCCCATATATAGTTTCGGCCGATTTTAGGTAAATGGTGTACCAAAGTACCTATATATATTCCGATTTGCAGGAAATTTGGCACAGAGTACTGAATTAGGTCCAGAATGATGTGTGCCAAGTTTCGAGAAAATCGGTTCAGATTTAGATATAGCTCCCATATATAGTTTCGGCCGATTTAAGGTAAATGTGGCACCAAAGTCCCCCTATATCTTTCGATTTGCATGAAATTTGGCACAGAGTACTGAATTAGGTCCAGAATGATGTGTGCCAAGTTTCGAGAAAATCGGTTCAGATTTAGATATAGCTCCCATATATAGTTTCGTCCGATTTAAGGTAAATGGGGCACCAAAGTCCCTCTATATCTTTCGATTTGCATGAAATTTGGCACAGAGTACTGACTGAGGTCCAGAATGATGTGTGTCAAGTTTCGAGAAAATCGGTTCAGATTTAGATATAGCTCCCATATATAGTTTCGTCCGATTTAAGGTAAATGGGGTACCAAAGTCCCTGTATATCTTTCGATTTGCATGAAATTTGGCACAGAGTACTGAATTAGGTCCAGAATGATGTGTGCCAAGTTTCGAGAAAATCGGTTCAGATTTAGATATAGCTCCCATATATAGTTTCGTCCGATTTAAGGTAAATGGGGCACCAAAGTCCCTCTATATCTTTCGATTTGCATGAAATTTGGCACAGAGTACTGAATTAGGTCCGGAATGATGTGTGCCAAGTTTCGAGAAAATCGGTTCAGATTTAGATATAGCTCCCATATATAGTTTCGTCCGATTTAAGGTAAATGGGGCACCAAAGTCCCTCTATATCTTTCGATTTGCATGAAATTTGGCACAGAGTACTGAATTAGGTCCAGAATGATGTGTGCCAAGTTTCGAGAAAATCGGTTCAGATTTAGATATAGCTCCCATATATAGTTTCGTCCGATTTAAGGTAAATGGTGCACCAAAGTCTCTATATATCTTTCGATTTGCACGAAATTTGGCATTGCGTAATGAATTAATGAATATGTGTTTAGTTTCGTGAAAATCGGTCCAGATTTAGATATAGCTCCATATATATCGTCCGATATATATATATATATATATATACGCTTATAACAGATTTTCATAATTTTGTCCCTGGTCCTTTAAAAA